TAAGCCTAACCTGAGCCAAAGCCAAAGCAGGAGCCAACGTCTGAGCCTAAGCCTGAGCCTGAGCCTAGGTCAAAGCTTAAGCCTAAGCCTAATCCTAAGCATGCGATCCATTCTTCAACTTTTGGTCGCATGTGAAGGAGATCCACCCCTGCTAGTAATTGTTATTGTTGCCTAATTCTTATGTTGTTGCAATAATAAAAAATCTAGAAACATGTGCATTCGATTCAGCATGAAAAACTGAGCAAAATAGTGCAAAATGAGAAATTTTCGCGGAAAAGTTTTTGGCCCCAAAGTATACTAGTACCGCTAAGCCAAGCCTAGACGTAAGTTAAAGCTAAGTTGGGTAAGCTTGCAGATACCTCAGCCGGTCCGAAACCTTCGTATCACGGCCCCACGTGAAGCTTACAGGGCTGTAAAGTATACCAAAAATACTCGCCAGATCGCGACTAACATTTTGGTATACTTTACACCCCGGTAGCATAACGGGCAGCCGGAGGTAAAAAAGTAAGCCGGCGGGGTAGCTGCATCCATGCCCCAGACAAGTGGAGCGTCGCGTACTCTAAAACGCAAAGTCAAGTCCCCTTACCAGTGGCCTGCACGGTGGTGATGAAGTCCTGCTTGTACGGCTCGACGTTGGCCTGGGTCTCCTGGATGAGCTGCGGGGCGTCGGCTTGAGCTTGAGGGCGCGGGCGCGGAGGGCCTCGAACGTCTGCTCGAATTCGGCGCGGTACTTGTTGGCGAGGGCGGCGACGGTGAGGCGCCATCTTCTGAAAAAAGCAGATGATAAATTTGAATAATTTGATGCATACGCGACGCAGCAGCAGCGGCAGGGTCAGCGCCGGGCTTGGCCGTCTTGGGGGAGGCAGCAGGAGGGGCGGCCGGTTCAGCGGTTGCCATTGTTGAGTTGATGACGAGTTGGGTGACGAGCGGGAGTGAAAATTCTGAGTGGACGAACAGTTTGGCTATACGTAGTTTTGGAGAGTAATAGCTTCCGTTTCCGGCGGTTTTTGCACGCCAGGTAAGATTTTTATCAAATTTATTAAATTTAGGGTTCCCGGGTCGGAAAACCTGTGTTTTATGCGGTAGTGGGAAGCAAAGTACAGCTTTTTCCGGTGCTATTTGCACCCGAGGTAAAAACCGGATGTAATTTTGTTATTTTTCGAGGGTCTTGGCGTCCAAATGATCCTATGGTGAAATTCGAGGTCTTATTTTTACGTAGATTTTAGTGAAAACTTAATCTTGAGGCTATTTCCCTAATAATCGCTGCTAGCTTACTTTTTAACGCGACGATTTAATTTAGTTCCTTTTGTTTATTTTAGCGCGTCCAAAATTTTCTTACTTTTCAGAGTCAAGTTTCAAAGTTTTGTTTAAATTTACATTTAAGTGGGTTCCTAACCCTTGATAGACGTTTTTCCCAAATTACCTTTGCTAGTCGTCGTACTAGTCGCCTTCTAAAAATTTTATATGAGCCATTTGTCACGTGTTTCAGGATATAAAACTGATTTGGTACTCTTCAAAACAAAAAAAAGCAGCTTATTTATCAAAAGTTTTTTAGTCGTATACAACTTATTTCGCGTCTAATTTCCCTAATGTCTGCGCTAGATTGCCTTTTGGAGCTTGAACGGAGTTTCTCGTTATACAGCTCCTTGCAGATTTTTTCGTGCCTCGAATCCCACGAGAAAGCCTCATCTACCCCCGATTCTTGATTGTTGGCCCGCTAAAGGACGAGTAGACTTAAAGGTACCCCTTCTAGGGCAACAACCTACTCAAGGTATTGGTACCCGCTGACTCTTCCTTTCTTTTTATCTCAGACAAAAGAGGCCAGAAACAAGTGGGTAACCGGCTGAAAATGGTTCCCCATCCCGGACCCCTCGTCGCTGGCGAGGGCAACATCCATGATGGTCGATGCATGGATGCGTTGGATGAACCGGCGGAGGGGTGGGGTACGCATTCACAGTATGAAACGCTAGGTGAGGTATTTTGGGGTTTTGGGAAAACTTGTGTTTGGTCTAGGAACGTTAATTCTATAATCAGATGTTCCGATGTTTTTCCAGGGTAATGCTCACGCTAATTATAGTCTTTTGATCATAATATCTCGTTTTAGCGTGTTTGCCCGACGATAAACAGGGTAGTTACGAAAGTTTGTTTGCTCCTGAAACGTTGGCGATTAGTAATCCCATAAGTATAACTATCTCATCTGTGATGCATTTTTAACGTGTTACCTTGGTCTACAAGCAGACATTTATATTTTAATTAGTTACGCTGGTTTCGGTCGTTTTTAAAAATTACATTACGACTATTTTGCCCCCGATAGCTCGTTTTTCAGGATTTATTTGGTTTCGGCTTGGAAATCAAATTTCTGCCCAGTGTTCACAACGTTTTGCTGATTAGTAGAGACAAAAAAACATAAGATTTTTTGGCCCCAAATAAGCAATTTTGCCATCAAGTATTGCCTGATACTTTAAGCTACTAATTGCTTTCAAAATGGTTCCATAACTAAATTGTTATTATACCGCTAAAACGATGAAATTTTTTCCGTTTTTTCACCACTACTACAATATATCCTCGGACGTCCAGAGAAATTAGACGTTCTTGACTGACCGCCTGGACGCAGGAGGAAGAATCAGGGGGCCAGGGGTTTGTCTTTATTTTCACTCCAGTGCCCCTGCCGTCGGGTCGTCATGGTGCCCACGGATATGGAGCCCTAAGGGGGGAGGCCCCAGAGGCCAACCTCCTCCCCTCCTTCCAGCATAGTACCAGGATTACGCCAGGTTTTCCACCCTCGACTTCATTGTCTATCTCAAGAATTGAATTAATCCGCTCCGGCGAATCTTCCTGAGTGATATTTGCCATTTAGAAATTTTCGGAATGTGGGTTTAGGGACTTTTAGGCCAATTTGCTCTTAAGGTTTTGTAATGCCATAAACGGCTATTTTAAAATTGGGACCTAATAAAACTATAAAACTAACCTTGAACAATAGTTTTTTTTACAGACCAAATATATTTACGGCGATTTGGTGTTAGCCTCGCTTTTCCCAACTTTTTGGACCTTCAAATGCGGCGAAAATAGCTTCTTGATTTTTTTCATAATATTTAACGTGAAATTTGTATCTCGCTGATCTGAATATAGCTAGTTGCTTATTTTAGGGTTAGGTACATTAAATGCCTCGAGTTTTTTTTAGATTTTCACGTTGAGACATCAAGGCGCACAAGATTCCTAGCTCCAGAGGTGCTTCTCGGACTCGAACTGTGGCTACCTGTAACATTCCTCTAAGCCCCAGTATCCGTGCGTTCTTTACTTTTGAAGCTTTTTTCGCTGTTTCGGACGACCAAAGCACGTACGTTGTGGTGAGAAGATTATTGCCTCCTGGTAATCTCTCACGCACACCACTACGCGCTCCGTTGCAAGTCTTCTTTAACCTTGCTATTCTTCTAAAACTTTTTCTTCCAAGTTTTTCTATAGCCATCTCCAAAATAACCTTTCAAAACAGCCCCCTGCCTCCTGTTGACAACAAACCCAAGCCAGATTCCGGCCTATTTATGACTCGTTCACCTCCTGGTTATTATCCCTCCTCCAGCCCCTGCATTGTTCCCGACAAAAATCTCCTTCCTTTTTCCCTGATTTCCTGCCGTTCCCCATTGGCTTCACTTTGTAACCTTTTTCAGGGCATTTTTGAACGGACCTCCGAAGAACTTGTGCGGCGGAGCAGAGAACATTTTCGAGTGTATGTATTTGTGTTTTTTTGCGGCTCCGGGGCTCCAGGCGAGGTTGCGTGAAATCAGGCGGCACCTGCGTTTTTTGTTGGTCGGCTCCACCCTCGCTTTTCTGGGGAGGAGGAGATCGGCTGAAAATCTTTTGAATCGTGGTGTGAGAAAAATTGGTCTGGGATCGGTTGGTTTGTCCCTGGTTTCCTGGAATGCGGAAATGGCGAAAAGTTGCTGAATCGTGTGGTATTTCGAGTTCAATCAAGGTGTCTTAGAGTTTGGAGGGAGCTTCCCCTTTTACCAAAACACTGCAAAACTTACAAATTCACTTGATTGATGCGCTAATGAAAGGAGAGATAGAGCTCCCCAATCTACTGGATTTTTCAGATTGATTTCGTGGTTATCCGGGAGCAAAAATTTGGCCCTTTTACCACTAAATGCGAGGTTTTGGTTTAAATCCAAGCTGAATCAGGCTGTGAGTCACGCATTAATAAAAGTTAGGGTTCAATTTATTTCCCTTCAAAATCCTTTCGCCCATGATCGGATAAACATCCCTTCTTTTCTACCCCGGAACCTGAATTTTTGGCACTTTCCCCCCGAATCCGCAATACCACAAATTAGCCCGGGAAAACAGAAACCTAAAGGGCTTCTCGAGGTTGGGATTTCCATTTTTTTGCAAGTATGGGGTTAGATGTTTGACCAGTAGGGCAAGATTTACGAAGTCCGTTGCATTGCTGGCGGATTAATTTCCTGATTTTGATAAGCGAGCTTTTCTAAAATTTAGAAATTGTATTTTCATACAGGAAATTGGTTGATTGGCTGATAGTACATTTTTTTTATGAAGAACCTGGCCTGAAAATCCTAGGAATCTTCTCCGTTTTTTTGGAATTTTGAAAAGAACCATGATTAATTGGACATATTTTAATGCTCTGTAGGTGCCACGTTAAGTTAGGCCTTTTAACAGGATGCTTAGGCTTAGGCCTAGACAGCACCATTTCCAGCAGTTTCAATAGTAAAATCTCAAGGCTGGACCAATTGCCCGTTAAATGGTGCGCCATTACTCTTCCCCAGCCTGACCCCAGAATTTCGGGTCTTTTAGGTGGTGGTTCGGGAGCGGATGCACCTGGCCCCCTTCCCAACCCACCACACATAACGGGGGACACCAGCATGTCGTGCTGGTGCCGTATCGACCGCCGTCTCATTTACCTTGCCGGGGACTGGCGCGGGGTTCCGTGCCTCGAGGGCACGAAATGTATTAGCCGGGCTCCCGAATTTCGCTCGAACTAGGCACGTTTTGCTGGGACAGCACTTCTAGGGTCTCTTATTTCGGGTGAATACAGCAAATTAGCATTCATCAGGAGAAAGCTAAAAGTTCATTTTAGTTAATTTGTTCTATCTGGCTTTGTTGCCACATCACTCTCTCCTCTCTCTCTCTCTCTCTCTCTCTCTCTCTCTCACTCTCTCTCCTCTCCCACTCTCTCATTCTCTCTTTTTCTCTCTCTCAGTCCCAATCGCTCTCTCTCTCGCTCTATCCTCCTAACCCACTCACTCACTCGCACCTCACTCACTCCTCCTCTCTCTCTCTCTCTCTCTCTCTCTCTCTCTCTCTGTATTTGTCTCTCTTTCCGGAATGATCTTTACTTGTTACCTGTACGGTGACGCTTAATGACTTAGTTATTTAAATTTTGGCTCAAAACCACAGTTTCCGAATCACAACCGGCCGATGTCAACAAACGGAACCCTAAAGCCGGAAGCAGAAATACAAGTTTAAGGTAATCAATCGGAATGTTAGCTTATTGTCCTCCACTTCCAGATCACGAACGCTTCGATCGAAAAGTACATGTTCAACCTGCGGATTGTCGGGATCCTGAAGAAGAAGAATCGAGGGTTGGGCAATGAGGTAACTCCTGAAAATGGTAGCGTGAAACAATAAAGATCAGGATCTCCAACTCGACCTCAGCCAACTTGACAGCGATGAGGAGGAGTTGAAGCAGCATCCCAGGAATCGGAGTGAGAAGCCGGATTGTTGTCCGGTGGCGTTGTTGCCAGGTAGTTTTTAG